TCCCCTCCTACTTCTCACCAGCTTCTCCCCTCCTCCTTCTCCAACCACACCTCTCCTTCTCCCTTCCGCATTCTCCCGGGACGCAGCTTCTTCCCCTCTCTTTCTCCCTTCTCCCCCTCCTCCTTCTCCACCAGCTTCTCCCCTCCTCCTTCTACACCAGCTTCTCCGTTCTCCCCTTCCTCATACTTCACTAGCTTTCCCCTACTCCACCTACTAGTACTACTCTAAACTTCCTCGTCCCTCCCCTCCCTACACTGCTCCTTCGCTACCCTGTACCAGAACTACGAGAGTGCTGACGATGTTCCACTGATACGCCCGAAACGCCGATAAACCGCGTAGCGCCATCTGGCGGTGGCGTTTTGCAAGTTAATTTACGACGCTAAACCTAATGTTTACCTCAGCATTCTGCCTTCGGTTACAAACTTAGGCTGAAAGGGTCGTTGTCGTATCAGGTACTACATATATGTACCCGAGGTACGTATATATATATACCAGACCTGTATCTTCTCAGCATATATGTGCCCTGTGTTTAGGGTTAGGGTTAGGGTACACTTCTGTAGTACAAGTCTGGTACACTTTGTATCAGGTTACTACCTGATACAACAACGACCCCTTCAGCCAAACTTAGCGAGTACAAAGCGGATTCTACGCAACGGCTAGACATAACGCAAATAGCAAAAATGACAATTGTGTAAATACTCGTGTTAACAGTTCGAATCATTTATTTACAACGTAGCAGTAACGACATGACACACACTCATTTCGTAGTTAAAAGATCACCACACCATCATAATTATCACCACAGTCTCTCCCACTCACTGACTTTTGCTTGATAACCTAATTCGCTCCTACCACACATAGACATTCACCATTAGAAATCTTCACCCGAATCAGCATTAGCAACCCGGCCGGGCGGGGGTGCACACACACCACGTCTGCCACTTGCAGCTGTAATTAAGCGACCGTTCTCGGAGCATAGGCTTTCCCGTGGAATATATAACAATGTTTTACGTATTTCCGATAAGACGTAATATTAGAATAGTTTTTGCATAATAATCTGACGAGGCCGGCTGTGATGTCTAACCACCATTTCATATCAAATTTGAAATGAGGAATATGGTATTCCGATTATTCACCAAGTTGTATGTTATGGTCGAAGCTAACAAAATGCATTTGCCGACGAGCCAGTTATGCCGCTATTCATATAGATTATAGATGCGGACACAAAGTTTGTCTTTTTGCAAAGACTGAGTTAGAGTACTTTATCTGGTGGACCAACGATTATCATAACTAGCGTTCATTATATCTGCAAAACGTGTACGAGATATAACTGATCATCACACGTGTACGAGATACAACTGATCACGTGCGTGCGAATGTAAGTGTCTACGTTTTTGTGTGTAGGCCTGGGCCGCCCGGCCTACGTGTTTTTTTGCGCGAGTGCGTGTGTGCGTTCGTTCGTGTGCGTGCGCGCGAGCATGCGTATTTTATAATGAGTTGGTAATGCACTAGCTATGCTAGCTCGACTGGGAAACCAAACATTTAACCACAGAAAATAAAAATTCAGGAATTCAGTTTCACCATCCATCCCACAACCTCCCGCATTATGGATAATTTTTTTTTTAGAATACACCTCATTATGTGTGCGATCAAGATCCAACGAATACGTTCAATTCTGCCTTACACGGCCATGACAGTGTAGGACAAGACGCTGTAAATACCATTCACACAATATGACAGAGATGACGAAATCAAATTATGCCACTTAAACAGCCGCACGTTAGAAATAATTTCACCTATACAAGATATCTAAATGCCACAATTAAAAATTGTGTTTTTTAATAATACCAATATTTATGCCAATTGTTTAATATCGGGTCTGTATGTCAACCAGCCAGGCAGTGATGAACTGACAGTATAAAACTGCAAAATATAAAGAATGAATGAGAAAATAATATATATACTGTAACATATGTTTTACAGATGTTTACATAGAGTAGTCAGTGGAGTTAGACTAGGGCTTGTTTTAGTAGTCTATCTAGACACAGCGTCGCGCATTTTGTGTGGCCGCATTGATGTTACAGGGAATTGGATAAGCGTGTTTTACGTTAGGCAGATTCTTGAGTCATTGTGAAATAGGGGTGCAGATCGAGTGTAGACATGGCGGGGTTTTGGGGAGAGAGAGGTAGGAGTGGAGGGGAGTCTGGTTGTGATCGCAAAAGTAAGCACACGCGCTTACGCGCGTGTGCTCGTTTCTTTCGTCTCTTTGTGCAAGATGGACACACTGTGTGCGAGCGTTATTTTGTCTCTGTGTGCAAGGAGATGTGACGTGAGCAGATATGAAAGTTTATGCAGTTTAAAACACAAGTTTGGATTTCTTCTTCATTATTTCTACATCGAATTCTAATTCAACGTTACATTTGGCATCGTCATTCTGTGCTATATATTCATATATCCGAGTTTGCAGATATTACTCATTTAGATATATAGATCTGCCTTTAAATGTAGTACCTGAAACTTACTGTGACAGTTAATGCCATTATGCAGCAAATAACTTAATGGAAACAGGTTTCTGAGGAAAAGGCGAAAGTGTGACTTGTTAGGAAGGCTAAAGACGATGAAGTTATTGGGGGGGGGGGACTTATTTAGCGAGAGGAGAATCGAACGTGTTGTTATATGATGCAGCGAGAGGTTGCTTTGGAAATAGGTATACTTGTTAGGTCCGAGACAGACAGAGGTGTAGCCGTTGAGGTGGTCTCCGAAGAAAAGGGAAAGATTTGTGAGGAGAAATTGGACAAAGGGATGGATTTATGATTGTACTTATGTCAGATGTCACGTGTATTTATAGATTATCTATGAATACACATCTAACATAAGTACAATCATTTGACAACTATTGGACTTTTAACTATCTGATAGTTAAAAGTCCAATAGTTATCCATTTGGACAAAGCTTATTATACAGTAGATACAAAGCATCGCTGAAAGCCCACACGAACTGCCTGGTGGTAGTAGCTGTCTAACAAAGGCTATGCTTTAATTGGCCTAGCGTCACGATGACATGAGCTTTTCCAGTGAACACACACCGAATTACTGATCCACGGTAAACTTTCGTCTAGTAGTTTCAAGTCATCGTGCATCACATTCAATCCATTCCTGATGCCTGGCACAAAGATGTAGTGAGCAGAGTGAAGACACGCTCATCTACCTATGCCGCGGAGGCTCTAAAACATTGTTTTAATGTTCTCCTCAAGTACAGCAGTGAATAACAAACCCTTCATCAATCTTCAATGTGATAATCAACAGCTCCTGTCATTGATCACCTCCTGACTGTAATGATCACCTAGCGTATACTGCCATCAAACTTCCCCTGTCTGTGATGAACACTGCCTGACTGTAACGAACACCTACTGCCATCAATCGTCTCCCGACCGGCCGTTTATCGTGTGTGCGAGGTCACCTTGCCGTGCCCACTACGTCTATCATTGCTTTACATCTATAAATATTCTCTAAAAGAAACCCTCTTCTGGTCTAGCAGCCTATAGTGTCCATTGGAACACTGATTGCAGTGCCCTCTACTACTGTAGCACTTTCGTGTCTCCTTGAATATCCACTGTTACTGTTAGGGTCTTTCAGCATCACATTCTGGGATGTCCACTGCAGCACCATGGACACCAGTTGCAGCTTCGCATTCCAGAATAACCACTTCATTTCTTTTATTCCATGCGTAACTTCAGAGGACGAAAGTCGCAGCCCTGCAGCACCCTCTATTCGCAGCACAACTTTGCATCTCGGAATATCCACGGCATTGCCATATCTATCAGTAGCACAACTTTGCATCTCGGAATATCCACTGCAATGCCATCCATTAGTAGCACAACACTGCACATCTCTGAACATCCATTACAGTGCCCTCTACTCGTGCCGCAAACTTGCATCTCCGAATATCCACTGAAGTGTCCTATCGATGACATAGGCGAGTGTGAGATCAATGGCCAACACTAGCAGCAGGATTTGCCGGAACTGAAAAATCAAAGGTAGATGCTGACGTCATTTGTCTTCTCTCTGCACTGCTCATGTAAAAGGAAGCAAACGTATATATAACAACTTCAGCCACAATAATTGCAGTAACAACATCTGGAGGCACAATTGCAGCAATATCAGCAGCCCCAGTAGCAGTACCCGCAGAAACATGAGTGTAAACACCATCACCACCAGTAGCAGCAATAGCAATAGCAGCAGCAACAGCAACAGCAGTCACAATAACATCACAAATAGCAGCAAAACCCATAGTACCAGAAGTAGTATTAGTAGCAGCACCAGCAGCACCAGCAACACCAGTGGCAGTAGTAACAGTTGTGCTAGCAGGACTATTTACTACCTGTTTACCACTCCTTAAGAAAAGTAGATCTGTGCGCATGATAGTACATACGATAGAATACAGTAAAACCTGCCACTGTTGCCACTATTGGTTCGTACTTACATCTGCCGGAAACTCCTCAATTTCGAATTGGCGGGAAAAGGCAGGCATCATGTTTGCAGCTAAAGCAACTACAGCACTGCCCGAGATCAGTAGACTGTAGAGAAGAGGCTTATTTTCCCATAGGCTCTCCATGAATGGGTGACCCTGTAACAAGTTTAGAATTATGTTCAATATAAATTCATTCATATCATATTGCAACGTAGGTTTCTTTCTGATGAGATCATGTATCACAAAGAAAGGGGGTATAATTTTTGATAAGAATTGAACGTAAATCAGCTAAGAGCAATTGTTTTGTTTAAACTAGGAAATTAACTCCAAATTAACTTACTTTGTAGTTTGTTGCGAACGTGGATACTTGAAGAAACATTGAGATAATGTAGACTGTACTGTTGAGAAGATCTGGTGCGAATTCTGCTTCAAGATCTATGGATTCAGGCCTGAAAAATTACGAGCAGTGAACAATGCAAAGTTGATAGCTGGCCCTACAGTACAGGAGAGGGAGTATCTTGACATAAACATTCGATGTGATCATAGACTAAATTATACGCATGTGTAAAATACTGTCACATGAAACCTAATGGGTTGACGTGCAAACATGCAATTGCTCACTCATATTGTCAAGTTTGTCACATACACACACACACAGAACATGTGCGAATCATAGCTGTGAAATTCATACACCAACAACAAGCTTCACTGCATGGTATGTTATAACCAATTGGCCAAGAGACCACTTGACCTGAAGACACGATTTGTCAAGAGTTACTTATACCTGCCAGGAGAGCGTGCTTTCGCCTCCCGTACCAAATATGCCAGGCAACCAAAGTGTACGGCAAACTGCAGCAGAACTGTCAGGAATGTGTACAAGTTGAATATGTTTGGCAGTGGACGACTTCTTGACAGTGTATTCAAGGGCTGGAAAATACAGACATATTAAATTATGTGAAACATGCCACAATGAGATATAAACCCTATGGACCTTACAGGCATACATGTGTATGCTTGTGTTTAATTATGTATGCACGGTGGTTTGCGTGTATTAATATAAGAGACTTTATGTCTGTGCATACGTGAGTGTATCTGCCAATGTTTATAGGTGTGAGTATGTGAAATCAGTCCGTTCATGTATGTTTTTTATTACAAAAAGGCTAAACCCTCCTCTACGACTACCATAAACTTGCCTTCGACCTAGATATGAAGAGAAAACAGCCTGCTAGGAGGAGGCCCTGCATGGTTGCCTGCGAGTCTGAGAACTTTATGCCATCCAGATAGAGTACAGATTGGCTGTATGCCAAAATGAGGGCATTCAGCGCAAGAATCTTAAACATCTGTAGTGTTGTCACTAGTGTGCAGCGTCCTTGCTTGATCACGTGACAGACTATAAATTAATCACATTCAAGCGATTAGGATTAGATCAATACATTACAACCTCGTTACAGATTTTGCTAGCATATTTATGTCACGTGTCAATTTATGTCATTGATTGTAGTTACAAGCTTCAACCTTCATCACTTTATTCTTGTAATACTACTTATACCAAGATCAAGAGCATATAAAGAAGGAGAGCGTACAACGGTAAAATGCTGAAACCATGTTGCAGTATTAGTCGAATTAATAAACTTTCCCCCATGTTATTTTGACGATTCTTTGCAGTATTATTGATCAGCTGTCCTACCTTGTTCATATAAAACAAACCGCATGTCCCTACGATGCACATACGCTGAGATAATGAGCGGTGAAAATCTGGTATTTTCGCTGAACACCGACTAGACATTAGTCAATACTGCGACCCTCTCTCAAAGTGTTAGAGCAGGCTTATTTAATTGCTCGTTAGATGGCGCGCAGGTCAATACAAATGGCCTCACTCTCGTTGTGAATTTGTTAGCATTGTCCCGCGTCCAATGCGTCAGAGACAAATGGTTATTCCTATCTATGCTAACAAATTCGTGATCTACAGCTAACATCGAACCGTCCACATAAGTGTTCCCCATCATGCCTGCCGTGAACTGTCCAGTTGCTGGCTGCGAGTACAAGACTGCGGACGTTGATCCTGCAATGGTGGTACAGTTTCTCCAGATACGTACGACAGCGGAACACACCCA